TAATAATACATAAAAATACATAAAACATACATATTGTACAAATAATACATAAAGCAAAAATTAAATATTATAAACAAAAATAAAAACAGTTACACTTTAATTTGAAATTCTTATATAAGTTCAAAACTTCTTTATATATAAAAATAATTTAAAATAAAAAAAAGACGAAAGAAAGAATTATTAAAAATAAATAACAAATTTATCATTAACGTTATAAAAATTATTTTCAATTCTTTTAGTAATATTATATTGTTAAAATATAAATAAAAATAAAATTAGTTGCTAATTTATTTGAATATTTATATAGGTTTATATATAATTTGATGAAATTCAACTTTTATGTATATATAAATAATGTGATTATTTATATATTGTATTCCTGTCATACGTTCCAAAAAAAAAAATGTCTTTAATTTTTAAATGCACATTAATAAAAGGTCAATAACTATACATTTTAACCAAGAACCGTAACAGTTAACATTAAATAATTCAAAATTAAATTAAAAAATTTTAAAATAAAACTCAAAAAATAATAATTAAATTTGCTCTATATTATATTTTTCAAAAATAATTATTATTATCTGCATTTTACTTTTTCACGCACAAATAACTCATACAATCTGCTTTTTATACTTTAAAACGCAGAAGTAGTTATATTTTTGTCTTAGCAATAATATAATTTTTAAGTACTTGCAAAATATAATAAACTAGCTATAAAATTAACTTATTTATTTTTGAAAACAAAATATAACTGCCACGTCAGGCGTTTTATATTTAAAAACAGAAAAATATAACCCTTTTTTGTGTGTTGTAGTTGTTTTTGTAATCTCATACAAAATGTATGAAAGGTTGGTGCTTATATATATAATGCATGTATATATATAAAACATGCATAATATTAGGGATGACAGTTGTTAGAATGATAACTATATACTTAAATAAAAATGTAGATAACTTTTTGTTGCTGCTTTTTTTCTTAAACACTTTTGAAATAATTATTATTTTCGATCTCTAATTATAACGTTATTTTCCCAAAGTCAACATGTTTATAATGTATTTTAATTGTTGTGATTACTGAAGCTTTACAATATTTTTTTTATATATATAAAAGCTTATATATATATGAAGCTTTATATATATATTTATTATATATATATATATATTTATATTTATTATATATATTTATTATATTTATATTTATTATATATATTTATATTTATATATATATATATATTTATATTTATATATATATATATTTATATTTATATATATATATATTTATATTTATTATATATATACATATATATATATATAAACTATGCAAACATATTTAAATATATTAAGTTGATATACATATATATACATAAATCTGGATTGGATAAACTATGTAAACTGTTTTAAACATTTAATATTTTTTAAAATATTTATATATATATATATATCTTTGTACTTATATTGGATTATATTTGAGATTAATTAAAAATAAATTTTTAAAAAATTCTTTTGGCAAAAATGGCACTAGTTTCCATTACTTTAAAGTTGTGATGTCTAATATATGTATGTTAGTAAATTTATATATCTAACCTTTTTTATTTTATAAACAACTAAAATTATTTTATATTCAATTACTTTACACAAAATAAATAAACATGAACACATTTGAAACAAATATTAAAGATTAGTAAACAAAAAGTCAATAAATATTAAATAAATGAATATTAGTTAGTGATGTACATATATAATATGAAAGGAACAAGAAAAACAAAAAACAAAAAAATATTTTAATAAATATTTTAACAATATTCAGTCACTTTTATCTTCTCTTGCAGATAAAAATAATTTTTGACAAGTATAGGTCAGCGAGCCTAAAAATTAAAAAATAATAAAAAAAATTTAAATAAATTTAAATAATATATACTTATAAGTTTAATTAGCCAAACAGGTTTATTTCTCCAAACAACGCCTACATAATAAAATGGTATGCCAATTGCGGTAATGAGTACACCCATAAATACTTCGTAGGGTGCTGCAAATATTGGCACAACTATTAAGAAAGCACATATTATGACAAAGACGATCGGTATCCACAAAGAAACCTATGCAATGAATAAATAAAAACATTAAATTAATAAATTTAATCAACACAATAGACTAAATTAAATTATCTTCTAAATAAAAATTTACACACTTACCACAATTGGGCGCTCCATGTTAGGACGTGTATAGCGGAAGTATAGTACCGCGGATACGGAGAGCATGATAAAGAAAGATTCCACAATGCTACTATATGTGATAAGTACATAAACGTCACTTACGACAAGCATGATTAGTGACAACACACACTACAATAAAGTAAAATACATTTTGTTAAATTAGATTTTATTGTATATTAATTTATTAATTATTATTCAAATGTATACCATAAAAACCAAGGAAGGTAATGGTGTGAACTTTTTAACGCTTATTTGTGATAAAAGTGCTGGCATGTGTCCATTACGTGCACCTACGAAACACATACGGGAGGTAGTCATTATGTGCACTGATAAGCCTCCAAAAGCGGATATAGCCACTAATATTGGGATAATAAAAGAAAATGCACCCAATACTTTATTTCCAAAAGTCTGTGATTGAGAACAAAAGAGTAAAGTAATAAAAATTATAAATGGTTAATATTATTGAAAATAAATTATTTAGTAGTAAATATAATAAATTGATATAATATAATAATATGTCGTAAAGAAATTACCGATTAAAAGAACAAAGCGAACTACAATATATATACATGCGAAAGTCAACATAACGGATAAGTGGCAACCTTTCGAAGCCTTTAGCCACGAAGCTGTTCCCTTCACCAATATTATTTCTAAAAATTATTATCCTTTAATTATTCTCACCGTAAACCGCAAAGATCTTAAATAGACTAGGAATGTATGCTATTGATGATACGTTGCTGAACAGTGTCTTATGAGCGAAAAGGGACCTATATTATTCTCACCAAAAACCTCGAAGATCTTGAATAGAGTGAGTGTGCATGCCAATTTACAGTGAAATATTTAGAAATGCAGAATAAAATTAATAATATAGACCCAAAATTAAATAAGCAATCACTAAAGTACTATTTATATGAAACAAAGAAATGAAAATCAAGGAACCTAAACGGTCCAATCGACCTTCGGAGCCACCCCATTGAAGTGACTAGGTTTCTGCACCTGGATCCAGGTTAATTTTAATTTAAATCCCACATATCCCTAATCCACCTCCACTCCTTAATTCCACCCACTCTCACTCAACATACCCATACCCATCCCCATTCTAATCCATATATTTTTCGTGTAATTCCTTTCATGTTATCTACTTTCTACATCCCTGCAGGCTATCACAACAACATGAAATACTGTAATAATTTTTTCAGAACAGAATAAACTTTTAACTGGAAAATAAGAAGCGGATATTGATGCGTACATATTGCAAGAAAAGCTAGCAGATTGTAATCAATATCAAATCTCTCAAAAAATCTCAAAAAATTCATCAACTCTTACCACAGCAATAGCCTTTGAAGCAATCATTTGTTGCGGTGTCAATACCGCCAAATATGCGGTATTCGCCAATACATAAATGCCAGTCACTAAGGGTAGTGATATATATATGGCACGTGGCAAATTTTTATATGGATCTCGCAATTCTTCTGTCATAAAGTTTAAGTAATTCCAACCGGCATAAGAGAAAATGCCCGAGTAAAATGCAACTGCAATTTTTCCAGGATCGGTTTCGGTATCTTCAAAGGGTCTTTTAAAATTCTCCACATTACCTAACGATGAAGTACTATTTATAAATACATATTATTTAATAAAGAAGATAAAATCACTTACCCATACACATCCAAACCAATCCAACTAAAATAATTAATACAAGCGCTGCAATTTTTGTAAACATAATAACATTTTGCATTTTAGTTGTCACTTTCATGTATGAGGAGTTTAGATACGTTAAAAAACATATAGTAACTGCGGCTAAAAGTTGAAGGGCCGCCTCTGGTATCTTACAATTATTCTCAAAAAATGGTTGTAAGACATATGAAGCGAACGTTAGACCCATAATCGCATTAGTTGTTGGACTAAAATAGAATAGGTTAGAAACATATAGTATATTAAGAACACAGTTACAATAAATAATTGTGTAATTTGTATTTGTAGAATCAAAAAGTATTATTTTTATAAAGATATTTTATCTTTTATAATATTTTATAAAGATAGATAAAAAGAAGAAATTGTATATTTCTGTTTTCACTGTAGAACTTTACCGTCATTGTAATACCCGGTAAAGATAACAGTCTTTCACTGCCTTTCCTGATGGGTCACTATCGTTTAGAAAACCAAAGTCACTACCAGAAGAATTAATGTTCCCTTCAATGATTCTTGTCGCAGCTACAAGGACGACGAAGAAACTTTACGTCTACATTGTCATTACTATGTACATTGCCAACACCATTAAACATACTAGGGACTTGTTCTCTAAAGCTGATCTACAGAGCTTTCACTGCAATTCAGATTTTTTAAAAGTTAGAGTTGCTTTTAAACTCAATAGGCCTAAATGGAATGCTAAGATCGCGTTTATAAGTAAACCTAACCTAGTAAGCTAGTTCTTTTAACTATTTTTATTTAAACTTTTCTCATATTGTTATGTATTTGCTTTTTATTTTTTACTAGTTAGGTTTGCTAAGTAAGTAATGACGAGAGTTGTCCACAACAACCCAGTTTAGGTTAATGCATATAATATGGGTATCAATCGTTTTACAAATTGAGTTCTTATTTGATCGTCGCAAGAACCCTTATTTGTTCGTTGATGAAACTATTGATCATCCAATATATATAATGTAAAGAAGGTTTCGACCTCTATTACAGTAGTCGTCTATGACGTCTATGCAGTGGCGGAGCTAGACCAACTCTGCACGTCGGCGACATCAGAATTGCGAGGCCCCCTTTATAACCCAGTTGTAAAAGTAAATAAGTTTTAAAATTTAAAATAAACACAAATTAAAATACATGAATTTTCCTACTTTTAGTAGGAAACCCTATTCTTTTTAAATTATATCATAATGAAGATAGTCTCTCTTGGACCATCATATTTTTCTAGTACGTCTTAAACAATTTTATCTTTGCTTCTTTCTTTTCGTCGAAGCTATACTGACTGGAACTGTGAATATGAATCTGATTACTATATAAACATTAGGGAATACTTCGAATATAGTGAATGCCATTATCAAACCAAATTGCTCTAAATATTTATTAAGTGCTTAGAATCCACAGTCGGTAACTTTTTGCGAGGCCCCTACGGGCGCGAGGCCGTCGGCGGTCGCCAACATCGCTGACGCCTAGCGACGCCACTGCGTCTATGTTTAAATTTTTTATATATATAAATATATTAAAGAGTGAGTTTGCTTGACCTACAAATATCTGCTTATTAAAGAAAATAATTTTGATGTCTCGTATAAATTCATAAATATAATAAAAATTTTTTTATTATATATTTTTAAAAATTAAATAATGCACAATACATTATCCGTTCACTAGACAGAACATATTTTTTGTTTTACTTTTTTGAGTCCAACATATACTCTGTCACTCATTTCGCTAAATCATCACAGTCTGCGTTTAAATACTAGAGTAAAATTACAACTATTATATATTATTCTAAGAATGAGTCACTCCAACCCTAAAAAGGGTAGAAGTCTCCCAGCATAGATAACCCTAACGTTGGTAGCATATAGCACCAATTCCACCAATCATTGTAGATCGATTGCGTATTATTAGACTATATGTAGCATAATTTTCGGCATTATTTGAACACCGTACAAAGAATGTACTGCCTAATTAAATATTCTTGAAATGCTTGCTATTTTTTATTATCAGTCACTCAATGAAAACTAGTTCTTATTTGTATTTACCCAGATTAAAATGAACTTGTTATTCTAATATCAAAAACAAATATTTAGTTGCTACACTCGCAATAGAAGCACAAATAAATAAATAAAGTAGATAATTATGTAGTTATTTTTTAATTATAATGCGTTCTATATATAATATATTAAAAGAATTAGAGGCGCACTTAAAATACCTCGAGTTTTTGTTTATTAAAATGTAAATATTATAATCGTAGGCCACTATTTACATCGTAGTTATCATCACAAGAGAGTTACTTTTGATCAACATAAGATATTGTAAGGAGCTCATATAGTAACCAGAGAGATTAACTCTTCAAAAAGAGTGCGTATAACATCTTGACTAGTAGTATTTTATGTAGGATTGAGTAAAGGCAGTAATACGTCCTAACATTAATAACTGGCTGTAATCCAACATAACACTTCTAATCTCCAGTACACGACGTCTTCTGACAAAACACCAAGACTAGCACGAGTAGTATCGTCTGACAGCAATATATCAGGCACGTGGATACAACGATCGGAATAATTATCGAAGCATGATTATTCCAAATAATCATAGTCATAAAATTAGCAAACCAGCATTATATTGTAATTATATTAGATTTACTTAGAATTACTACACCAAATTGTCTTTCACTTTCAAAAATAAAAATTATATTGCAACGACCCTTGGACAACGGCTAAGTATATCTCAGCGTTAATAACGAACAATATCGTGTCGTTACAATTGCCTTAAAAATCGATAAGTACAATGTATATAAATGAAAAAACCCTGTTTATTTGAGTAAGAAATAGAACTAGAGCGACCCTAAAGATTTTGAATTTTGTTCTAGTGGGCACTGAAACATAAGGTAGAGTACATTTTCCTCCTCATCCACAGACCCATACAAAAGCCGTTATAGGGTAAGCCCAGTCTCATAGCATGTCTTCCTAGTACACAATGACACGTCAGCACCGATCTTGTAGTGCTTAGCTCATTTCGGTTTAGTTAAAGCAGTAGTATGTTTGTACTACTGGAATGTTTATTGTTTGTAACAGGTCGATATTGGGGTCTGACAGCAGGGTTAATCTGGACAAGTTTGTTTAGTTATGCTCAGATATTTTTGTTTAATTGTCAGCTTGACCGTTACAAATGGTGTACTCAAAAAGTGAAAGTTAGAAAGCAAAGTGCTTGTGTTGACAAGCTCATTTGCCCTGCAGTTGCCCAAGATGTCTTGGTGTCCCTACCTTATAAATAGAAGTTCGGCATTGTCGGACTGTTAAGGATATAGCTTTAGTACTTACCAGAGAGTTAATAAGTAAAACTTTAAGATCATATTGATATCATAACTTAATCTAACTAAACTCAAAATTATACAATGCCTACATCTTCATTTTCAAGTTAATGAAGGGAATAGTAATATGCCACTGCATATTAAAAAAAATATTACCAATAGTTATTTATGGACTAAATTTGCGGTAAATTAGATTTAGAATCTACATTATATTGTTTCTGTTTAGATCTACTTTCTGCACAAAAAGTATTCGGATTTTGTTGTTTGTTAACTACTCCTTAAGTAATAGACCTTTTTCAAAAAAAATTTTTTTTATTGTGTTGGTACACCCTTTCTTGGCATATGGTACAAATTTGAGCGCCATCTGTCAATTAGTTTGTTTACAGCAGCTGTTAATGTGAGACTACCTCAAGTGCATTTAGCGATTTTTACTATGGAAAATTCTTGTTGTACGCATTTTTTGAACCCAACACTGCACCACTGTCATCGCTCAAGCACCATATTCGCCAGATCTGGATTCGTGCAACTTTTTCCTGTTCCCGAAACTCAAATTGCCCCTTCGTGGTAAGCTTTTTGAGTCGATTGAATCGATAAAAGAGAATTCGCTGAAGGAACTAAAAGCCATATCTTCACGGGCCTACGAAAAGTGTATGGAAGATTGGGTTAAGCGTTGGCATATGTGTATCGCTTCAGAAGGAGCATATTTTGAAGGAGATAAAATTTAAATTTGTGTGTTTTATTTACAAAATCCGAGTACTTTTTGAGCAGAAGGTATGGCTTACTAGATCACGTTGGGAAAAAAAGACTTTTCTGCCTTCCCCGAATTTTTAATCCACACTCGTACTTAATAAGCTCCATACTTCATAAGATCGACGATAACTAAATTTTAATTTAGTGTAAATATTTGCATCTTCTCCGACTTTTTGATTGACTGTCAAAGTTTGATTATTCAATTAACACTGTCCTATATGTGTATTCAGACAATATTAGATACCTTTTTAAAAAAACTAATATTATAAATATATTATCACTTATAAAAAAATTAAAATTTTTTGAGACGAATTAGTAATGGAGATACTCTTATCTCCATTACTAATTTAATTTCATGGATCTCTGAATTGGTTTACATAAATATTTACAACATTTTACGCAAGTGTGAAACTAAAATAATATTTATAAATCGTATCTATTGTTAAACTTTCCATTTAATTATAAAATTTATGACAATCGTGCCACTACGTAAACAAATTCTATTTATTGATCTTCGGTGTATGCATGACCATAACTTCGATATCTCTATTTCTATTTCTAATTCAAAAAAATATGGTATTATATATATACATATATAAGTTAAAATCAGCAAGAAAAAAAATAAATAAAAAAATGAAGCGATAAAAATAATTTAAACAATTTATATACGAAATACCGCAAAAACTAGATACTCGTAAATGAAAACGGAGTAAGTAAATTGAGACGCTATCAAAACAATTAACTGTGTAGACACACAAAGTAGGTCTTGAGAATTATTAGATATGATATGATAGTGTCGTGTGATTGGAGAACATAATTATATTTATTAACACAAGCGAAAAAAAAAATTAAATAAATAAATTCCATGCAGACATTTGAGTGATTAGACAATTATATATATATACATATATATATTAGAAGAGAGTGTAGTAAATATTTAACAAAGTTTAAAAAACCATATGTATATATAATATTTAAAAAAAAAATTAACATTTTATGCAATATTGCCACATATGACTCTAACAAAGTCACCTAAAGTCATTGGCATTTAAAACCAATTTAACGCATTTCTATATCAATTGAGGCAATTTAGAATCTTTAAGCAAAGAATCAACTTAAGTTTATCAATTAAATCTGCAGCAACGTAACTAGATTATAATAATAATGCAGCAAAAAAAAATTTAAATAAAATTTAACTTACACAAATATCATCATCGCATCCCAGAGATAGAGAAATGCCGGTAATGAACCATAAGCCTCAAGTATATAAGCATAATCTCCACCAGATTTTGGTATGGCGGTACCAAGTTCAGCATAGCATAAAGCGCCAATCATCGATAGTAAGCCTGATAGAACCCATATCACAAGCGATGTACCGACAGCGTCAACCTCACGTATCACACCTTTCGGAGATATGAAGATGCCCGAACCAAATATAACACCCAATATAATCGCAACACCCTCTAACAGCCCAAGTTGCTTCTTCATACGCACCCTGCTATCGTTAGATTCTGCAGATCCTTCACGCTGTTTGTTAGCTCCACTACCGCTGGGTGTATTATCATCTCCGTTCATACCCAACACCGGTGGATTTTGATTGCTAGGCGTCAGTAAAACTACTTCACTAGTGGGCGATTGTAAATCATATTCAGTCATTTTTCAACCAATCTATGCACATCCAAACCGCTGCACGTTTATGCGAAGACTGGTATCAAAAAATTTGCCTAGAATTGTGTTACGTTCAAAATTAAATTCAGTTGAGATTGATTGCTTTTTTTATTTTTGTTCTTGTTTTGTCTTGCTTTCATGCGCTGCTCACATTTATGTGTTAAAGCATTCTCGATAATCACGTTTTCGTTTTTGTTTTGCTACAAATATTCATTGATTTTTTTCGCGGCTTTCGATATTTGTTTTGAATGGCATTCGTAGCGAAAATATTTTCAACCCCCAAAAACGGTTAAAAAAAACTGTATTATTCGCCACTTTAAGGTTAGAAATTCTTATTTAAACAGATGAAAACAAAAATGTATTTAACTAATTATCACATATTTTCACATTATTTATTTTGTAGCAATTTTATTACAAAGTACTTAAATTATAATAATTCATAATTTTTTTAATTTTATTTTTTACTTTGAAAACAGTATATAACTGCTACACGCTCACTAACGTCAGAACTGGCATAAACTGAAGAAAAGAGTGCAAAACGCATAAATAATTTGCCAGGGTTACCGTTATCTGAAAATTTGCATTGACTAGTACATACTGACCTTTCAGAATTTGAACATGTGATTGTAAGTGATAACATAGAACTTTCCAAATAATTTAAAATAAAATTAAAATTATGGTTATATGGGCAAAGTTATGGTAATATAGACTGAAATAAATAATATACGCATACAAAATTTTAATATGGGATTGTTAATTATAATATAGAAGTTTCGAAATAATTAAAATAAAGTAAAAATTATGGTTATATGGATTGAAATAGAGAATGTTATATACGTATATAATATCTATATGTGATTGTTGATTGTAATATAGAACTTTCGAATTAATACAAAATGAAGTAAAAATTATGGTAATATTAAGTGAAATATATACACCATAGACAAATAACATATAATATTTATATAAATAATATAATAATAACATAAAACAGAAAAATATATAGTATGTATAGTATAGTATATATTCTACCTTTACTCAGTTAATACAATAAGATTTTTTATTATGTTCTTTTTTATTAAAATTACATATGATCTTAATATAATATAAATAGAAGGTAGTATTATATTGTTTATAACAATAAATTAATTATAAATATTGTGCCAATCAAATGTTAAAAGAAAGAGGGGAAAAAAATATAAGACATTAAAATAAATTACAGTCTTATGTAAGATTTCGTATATTATTTCTATTCAGAAATGAAATCTTATGGTGTCATATTTCCCTTGTTGTCTAGATCTGATTAGAAACCTCACCAGGTATCGAAAAAATAAGTTAATTTAATGCATTGTCCGTAATTCAAAATTCTATGCGAATTCTCAGAAAATATATAAATCAAGCAAAATGAATCTTTGATGCCTCTACTTTATAATAGAATTTTTTTTAATTGTGAACTTCGGCACTACAATTTACAATCTGAACCCAGCTTATCCTTATCTATGATGCATAGATAATGTGTAAACACGTTACACTGTTATGCCGCAGTTTCAAAACTTCAATTACATATAAATTATATGGGGAATCTACCTGATAACAATACATGTGCTCTACAGACGTACATGTACTATTATCTTGATATGATGTCAAAATGCCACTCAACCTCAAGGGTTTTGAAGTTGAACTTAATACTTAAGTGGGTAGATATACAATGCTGTTTTCTCTCTCTTCACCATATCTCTATCGGACTCAGCCTTTGTTGTCTTCGGCCGATCATAATCTTCTCCAAATGTAAAAACTTGTCAAAAATGAAAGATTACATAGTAAATATTTATTGCCTGATGTCTATCCACTTTGTTCGAAGTCCATTGTAAAAGTGGTAAAACATTAAAGTTGTAAGGAGGGGATTAAGGGATAGATCCCTTCCTTAAATTTGTAGATAGTATTATCTACAAAGAATACACTGCAACAACACATTCAAGAAAAATATTTTTTAGCATATCCTGCCTTCGCACAGTCTCGGCTGCGCCACTGATCTACAGTATATAATCGAAGATATTATGAGTTCATTATTTTAGAGCACTAAACAAACATGAATAGAAGTTATTTGATTTCGTAGAAATTAGAAAGTGTATCCATGTAACTATCGTGTCACTAGTACAAATATTACATTAGAAATATATACCATTTTGTCTACTATATAAAATAAGTTTCAATAACAATATTATATCATACAATGAGTTGCTTTAATGATAATTACTTTTTACAGTTTAATGAAGCTTATTATTATGCTACATGCGTCACACTACAAATACATCCATTATTTCTTTTCTTTTGCATGGAGTTTAGAGTTGATCATCTCCTTAAATTGTGATAAAATTTTATTTTCACGCTTCTGTCGTTCCTCTTTGCTAAACATAGCAAGTGCACGCTTCTCATCAGCAGAATAGATCTGATTTTCTTTACGTATACGTACCGCTTCCATACGACGATGTCTATAAATTAAAAGATGTAAATTAGTAAATAAAATTCATCTTCAAAAAATACTGAATAAACTTACCTGCTGCCACTCATAACATAACCCACATCTTCGAACGTTGCTATTTCCTCAGAAGTAAGACCAATTTCACCACGTCGGGGTATGCGTTTTCCTTCAGCAATGTATGCTGCCATTGCAGCACCTTCACCAGGCAACAGTGCACGTCCAAAATCTTTTTGGTTTAACCCGGTAGTTTGACGCAAGGTGGGTCCAAACTCTTCATTATCATTTATGCTTGTTTTTGATGTTGCAATTTTATCGGAATTTATTTTTTCTTTATTTTTCTTTAATTTTTTATCTTTTGTTTTCTTGCGTTTCTTTTGATCAGAAGCATTCTTTTCTACCCAAACTTCCTCTCCTTCACCTTCACCTTCAGTATCAGAACTTGAACTACATGTACTATCATCGGAACTATCATCAGAACTCTCATCGGATGTAGCTGAAGAATCAGACGATGAAGATTTTTTAGATTTTCTTTTTTTAGATTTTTTACTAGTTTTTGATTTTTTCTTCTTAGATTTTTTTGATTTCTTTTTAGACATTTTTTTATTCTTTTTCTTTTTTGTTGGTCCTTTATATGTATGTTCCAACAATTCCACATCGCTTTCAGCACATGAAAAATTTTCAATATGTGCAGGACTTTTACCCCATATTTCAGCAACGCCTTCAGCGCCAATACTTTCACGCTGTAAACGTCTTGTGTCCATATATTTCATTTCAGTTTTGTGTCTTCTACTAGATTCACCATGCGGTCTATGAGGTTTTGTATCACGTGGTAAATAATTATTATCATGAAATCTATCGTTTGGCCAACGTTCGCTGTTAATACTATATTCAATATTTTTACTGACTGAATGCGAGTGTCTATCATTCTCATGTGTATTTGATTTTGAATTATTATTGTGACTTCTCGAGTGTGATCTGGATCTTCGATGTCTTGAACCATTGTCTCTAACATCATTACTTTTAGAGCGTGATCTTCTCCTTTCAGAATTTCTGCTAGAACTTGAAATTTGTTTACGTTTGAATGGATTTGTTTCACGTGAACGTGATCTTCTAGAGTTTGTTTGATGCCGGCTCGAAGTTTTATTATCTTTCTGGCGCGAACGAGAACGGCGGGAACTACGTTGTGGACTACGGCGTTTATTAGTGCTTTTAGAACGTGATCTCTTTCTCTGTACTATACTACTTTTTTCTCTTGAGCGTGAACGATCACGTCTTTTATTCTTTAGACTTCTTGATCGAGTTCTTCTCCTTGATTTATTGCGACTATGTTTACTAATAGCGCTACTTTCACTACTGCTACTATCACTTCCTGAACTACTCGTACTGCGGCTAGAACTTCTGGAACGCGTACGTGATTTGTATCTTTTTGAACTTTTGGTGGTAGGTGAACGGATTCGCCCACTCATATTTGCAATATTATATAAATTTATAATATTTATTTAAGTACGATCTTGTTCACCAACAATAATTTTTTTTGTGTTTTAAATCTGTATAGATAGGAAAACAATTTTTCATGCAACCAAGCTGACAATGCAAAGTCAAAATTGATTCGCGTTGCCAACTTCATTTTCATAATTCCTAAAAAGCAAGTTCATATCCTAACATAGAAGAATATTGGCTATGTAGATCTATAATAATTTAATTACTGTTCCTAATATATATTAGTATTTATATATATATTTGTTTATTAAAGTGTAATATAAAAATTATTTTCATTATTGCTTTGAAATAAATTTAATATTGATTTTAAATTTTTTATTATATTTTTTGTTTTCAGATATGCCAAATTGTTGGTTAAAACTTTTGGCTCATAACAACAAAATGAATCGAAATACACGTAGGGGAAAAGGTAATAATTGTTAAAATTTAAATATTTAATATATGATATATTTATAAAATATTTGACATATACAAACATATAAAGCAATGTTTATATAAATGTTTTCATATATTATAATAAAGCTATGTTAAGTATAATTGTCTTATTTTGTACGTAGAATTAATTACAATTTAACACAAAGTACAAATGAAGTAAAAAAATGTAATTGAATCAAATACCAAAACAATAGCAGATAGTATTATATGGCATTTACACTAGCCACAAATGACTCATATCAAAACAGTCATATAAGGCCAGTGTAAATGCCATATTAACCTATTCTCGATTTTAGAATGCATTGGTTCACTAAAATCTTATTTACTTTACTTTTTGATTTTACAACTTTTTAAAATGCACTAACAGTGCTAATAATTCCATATTTTATAATTATAATGTATACCACTACAATAAACTAGAATTTTTAATAGAATGGTTGTCTTTTAAACAGACAAGTCTTTAAACTTTTCTTATTCTTAACTGTTTACATCATTAAACTTAATATTTTTTTTTATTTCATTATAAATAATTATGTGTATGTTGCTTGAATTCTTTTCTAGTCAGCTGTTTTTTAAAACTGTCCGTACCACAATAATAATTTTAATTAAAAATAGTTTATAAGACATTATAATTATTTTGCAAATTGCATATATTACATTTCATGTACATATATAATGATATTAATAATTGCAAAATCATTTGCAATTGAACGTATATATCCATAACATTCTTTTATTAAAAATAGAAATATTTTTTAAGAAGTTGGCTACTCTACATGCAACGTATATATTTGTAAATTTTGACATTTTGCACTTGTGAATGTGACGTGTTAAATTTTCCGCTGCCATAGTGCTATTTTACACACAAAATCTTAAATAAAACATAAAATAGCTTATTAATAATTGAAATCTGTACTCGCTGATAAAACTTAAGTAAAAATGGGTTCTTTTCGTCGTGAGAAAGAGGATGAAGATGAGGGTAAGTATGTGTGAATGAATTTATAAAAGCCAAAACCGGAGCACCTTCTGACTGCAGTGATTATTCAGCGTAGTCAAAACTGATGCAATATTTACATTTTTAAGTAAACAATAACAAAATGCACATATTTTAATACTTAATACATAAATTAAAAGTTCTTTCGAATTTATTACATTATAGGCAGCACCAATATATATCAGAATTTAGAGAAAACCTCAGTATTACAAGAGACACGCACTTTCAATGACACGCCTGTTATTCCAAGGAAATGCATACTAATTCTTACCAAGATACTTTACCTTATCAATCAAGGCGAACAGCTGGTGGCTCGCGAGGCCACAGATTGCTTCTTTGCCATGACAAAACTATTTCAATCAAAAGACGTTGTTTTAAGGCGTATGGTATACTTAGGCATCAAAGAGTTAAGCTCAATCGCCGAAGATGTGATTATAGTAACAAGCTCACTTACTAAGGATATGACAGGCAAAGAGGATTTATATCGTGCCGCTGCAATACGTGCACTTTGCAGTATAACAGATCACACTATGTTACAAGCAGTGGAACGTTATATGAAACAATGTATTGTAGATAAAAATCCAGGTGTTTCCTGTGCTGCACTTGTTAGCTCATTAAGATTGGCAAGCACTGCTGGCGATGTTGTCAAAAGATGGGCTAATGAAGCACACGAAGCACTTAATAGCGATAATATAATGGTACAATACCATGCACTTGGTTTACTCTATCACATACGTAAATCTGATCGTCTGGCTGTATCCAAACTGGTAAATAAATTGGCACATAGTGGTGTGAAGAGTCCATATGCTGTCTGTATGCTGGTATGTAATAAAAATAAATCAAATTATAATTAAAACAAATTATACTATAATATTTTCCTAACACAGATACGTATTACTTGCAAACTGCTTGAAGAAGAAGATCAATCTGCAGATGAATCGCCATTATTTGCATTTTTGGAATTATGTTTACGTCACAAAAGTGAAATGGTTGTCTATGAAGCAGCACATGCCATCGTTAATCTTAAAAACACAAATCCCCGCGCACTTTCGCCGGCTTTTTCTATTTTGCAAATGTTCTGTAATGCACCAAAAGCTACTTTACGCTTTGCTGCTGTACGCACGCTTAATAAAGTAGCCATGACCCACCCAGCTGCTGTTACTACATGTAATTTAGATTTAGAAGGTCTTATAACGGATTCGAATCGATCTGTTGCTACTTTAGCTATAACTACGCTCTTAAAAACAGGCGCTGA